CAATAATTGTACTTTTTATATTTATTTTTTTCCCGACAATTGTATAACAATTATATACTAATGACTAAACAACTCTTGATGTATAAAAATATATTACATATTGTTATTAATACATATTTACACCAATAGTATGCAAATAATATGCAATAGTTAGTTTAATGAATTTGTATTATGAGATGAACTATTAAATAAAATTGAATTTGTATTACAAATACAGATTATAGAAAATCGAAGTGGAAAGTTGATAGAAAAATATTTGTGTAATACTATATATTTAAAGAACATGTTTATTATTTATTATTTAAGATAAGATTGTGATCTCAACAATCCAACTATAAATTAATGGGAAAGTCTACAATGTGTACTTTCTAAAAGAGCATATGATATGCACTTATTGTGTAGTCCATATCATACCACATCATAAAAAGTAACCTACTAAATCGGTCATCCAACAAGTTATATGAAAGAACATAACTTTTTTAAATATCATAACAACACTACAATGAATCATAACAATGTCATAAAATTCACCGAGGTGTCATAACAAATACACTATCAATCATGACAATATGACAATGACTCATAACAAATGCAGTTATTTCTAACTAATTATCATAACATTTGAATGGTAGCATTTTTTATTATGATTCACCATGACAAATCATAACTTTTACTAATGAATCATAACCACAACATTTTTCCCCACAATAATAATAAGATTAACATAATGTCATAACTTTTACTAATGAATCACAATATTGCACGTTGATTGTAATTTTACAGGTGTAGCCCATTGGACATTCCACCATTGTAATAACTCTGTCCATACCTTCCAAATCCTAGAGAAAAATAAGAATAAATGATTCAACCTGAGATTCGTAGAAACAACACACATTGTTAATATTGCTACTTAATGCTCCAATCTTTTGTAAATAATCAGCAGTTTTCACACTCCCTTTCCATTCCAACCTACCAAGAAAATGAGCCTTCAGTGGAGCCACATTACCCCATAATTGCATAGAAATAAGCAGCCTAGGCCTCTATTGTGCTTCACCCCATTTTCTAGATGCTGCCACAGTGTAATGACCTGATGAAGTTGGCTTCCACTTGAGTGAATCATGGTAATTCTGTGTCAAGTTTGGAGGAGTAATGAGCATCATTTGTAACCTAAGCAAGAAGTTGTCTTCTGGAATTGAAGTTCTAGTCCCCAGAAGTGCCCTTATTTTGTACAAACATCCTTAATGATCCCCTTTATCTATAGACAACCTGAAAAGTCTAGGAAATTCATCCATTGAAAAGAAAGATTTTGGAGGCAGAAGAGAAAGCTGCACAGTTTTTCTTAGAGAATGAACTGTTAGTTGAGAGAAATACACAGCTGAAAAACAAGGTTAATGAACTTCAACAATCACTGAACTCGGCTCATACTGAAAAGGAAACCACTTTTGTTCAACTAATGTATCACATGAATACTATTACTGAATTAACTGATCAGCACTCGAAAACATCTGAACTTCATTTAGCAGCTGAAGCACGGGTTTCAGAGAATGAAAGAAATTAAACCATTCAAAAATTTAGTCACAGAGATCTAGAAGCTAAGGACTTAACCGCAAAGCTAAATAAACTTCAATGACAAATAAAAATGTATGAAAGACAAGCTAATGAAACAATTGGCATCACAGAAAATCTAAAAGTTCAGCTTGAATAGACCCAATTTAAATTGAAAGGTCTGGAATGTAAGATTTAATAATACATGTAACCATAATAATAATGCGGAATTAAACTTTACAGGATCTTGAATTCAATACAACTCAAGAATAAAACGAATATCCCTTTGTCAGCCATTAAATTAGAGAAGTTGAGAAAATACCCCTTAGAGTTGAACCTTTAATTTTGGCTCACCTTCTTCTCTCTGTCTCTCTTAATTAGGATGACTATAAAACTTAAAGTGATGGAAAAATACTCATGATATGAAAGGGGAGTCACCCATCCTTATATAGAGGAGAGAAGAGGGCCAGATAAACTCTATCAGAAGAATTCCTAATCCATCAAGGTTTCCTTCTTATCTTAGAAGAGTGATTATATTAAAATTCTATTTACTGAACTAATAGGTTACTATTGTAATTTTCACATTCATTTCCATTAAAATAAAAAAATTATATGCGTCATCATGAAAATAAATTACTAATTACAAATATAGCTTAAAATTAATAGGTTACTATTGTAATTTTCACATTCATTTCCATTAAAATAAAAAAATTATATGCGTCATCATGAAAATAAATTACTAATTACAAATATAGCTTAAAATTAATAGGTTACTATTGTAATTTTCACATTCATTTCCATTAAAATAAAAAAATTATATGCGTCATCATGAAAATAAATTACTAATTACAAATATAGCTTAAAATTAATAGGTTACTATTGTAATTTTCACATTCATTTCCATTAAAATAAAAAAATTATATGCGTCATCATGAAAATAAATTACTAATTACAAATATAGCTTGAAATTAATAGGTTACCATTGTAATTTTCACATTCATTTCCATTAAAATAAAAAAATTATATGCGTCATCATGAAAATAAATTACTAATTACAAATATAGCTTGAAATTAATAGGTTACCATTGTAATTTTTTCCCCAAAAGAGTAATATTATACTTAGCACATTTAGTATACCACCTCATATAAAAAGTAGTAAATGTGACATCACTCATATTTAAATGGACTATAGAGCATTGTTGGCTCCTTAAAATACAAAATTTAGGTCATGTTTTTTTTTTTATTTTTTTGTCCCTTTTTCATTTTTTGTTTTCTATTATTTTTTTTGTGGTTTGGGTTGTGAGTTGAATTTTTTTTCTTATAGTGATTGCATGCTTTTTTGAATGCGTGCGGGAAATACACATTTATTTCACTAATAGAATGTCTCTTGACATGCTTATTTTTATTAGAACTATATGTTGCTAGTGATATTATGATCCTGTCAACCACAACCCCTGGCCAAGGTGTTTGTGGTCTAGTGGCAAACTGTGGTTATGGCGGATAGGTTATGGTTCTGAAAATTCACTTAAAATGGTTCTTAATGTCTTAAAATGGGTCTGAAAATTTCCATAGGTGAATGGGTCTTAAGGTCCATCTTCAGCATCTTGGAGTAATACTCATTCCATAGGTGAATGGGTCTGAAAATTCACTTAAAATGGTTCTCAATATCTTACTTGCAAATGATCGCCAGATTGATAGTTTTAAGTCTGGAATCAACACACTTATTAGCCACTAACTCAACAAGAATCACTCTTCCTCGCATTAAAGCACTATGGGATTCTGAGATGAGCTGTGCAATTGCCTTCCTCAATCTCAATGCTAACACTGGCAATAATTTTATAGACACTGTCAATCAATTTAATAGGTCTTAATCTTGAATGTCCACCCCTTTATTTGACATGGGGTAATGGAGGAGGCATTCATACGCATCTCAAACTCTTGTCCCAGATTAGTTTTTTGAATTCATGTTTCAGTTCTTGATTGCAAAAAATAGGAATCCATTTTTCGCGAATCGGTTTTGAATTGGAGTTCACAATTCCGAATTATAATTGATCTAGACCATAGATAACTTAAAATACATAAAGAAACCAATAATACTGATGCATGCGTTGAATATAGCCATTGTAAATCTTCTTATGCTTGCGTTAGTGCAAATGAAACTAACACATTGAGAAAATATATTGCAAACTATCCTAAGGCTCCTCATAATCAAGAGAATAGGTGAAGGATTTTCATCATGTTGTTTGTTTTCCTCAGCCTGTGGAATAGTCTGAGGAACAACAATTTTTCGATAAGGGTCAAATGTTGGCACATCTACCCTAATTTCCTCGAAATTCACCACTCGTGTTTTCTCACTCCCACTGATTTCACCATTCTCTAGGAATCTAGCATTACCAGTCTCCATTATCCTCGTACTGTGATTAGGACAATAGAATTTGTACCCTTTAGACTTGTCTGGATAACCATTGAAATATCCAGATATTGTTCTTGAGTCTAACTTTTTCTCTTGTGGGTTGAAGATTCTTGCCTCTGCTGGACAACCCCAAATATGTAAGTGTCTCAAACTAGGTTTCCTACCAGTCCACAACTCAAAAGGAGTTGTTGGGACCGCCTTACTAGGAACCCTATTTAAGATATACATTGCAGTTTTTAAAGCTTCACCCCACATTGAAATAGATACGATTGAGTAACTTAACATACTCCTAACCATATCTTTAAGTGTACGATTACGCCTTTCAGCAACTCCATTCTGCTGTGGCGTACCAGGCATTGTATATTGAGCACAAATGCCTTTCTTTTCTAATAATTTGGTAAATGGGCCAGGATTTTGGCCTGACTCATCATATTTACCATAATATTCACCACCCCTGTCTGATCTCACTATTTTAACCTTTCTATTTAATTGTCTCTCGACTTCAGTTATGTACACCTCAAGGATGTCAACAGCCTGAGACTTTTCATGAATTAGATACACATATCCATAACGTGAGAAGTCATCTATAAATATGATAAAATATTTTTCACCACTAAGACATGGGATGTTGAGTGGCCCGCAAATATCTGTATGAATTATCTCAAGAAGCTCATTACTTCTTGTGGCACCTTTCTTGGTGTGTTTGGTTTGCTTTCCTTTAATGCAATCCACACATATTTGAAAATCAATGAAGTCTAGGTTTTCCAAAATCCCATTCTTCACCAATTTTTTTCAATTCTATTTCTGGAGATATGCCCCAACCGTCTATGCCACAAGATCGATGATTTTTCATTAATTAGACCACGTTTTAAACCAATATTCGAATGTAGAGTTACTAATGATTGTACAAACTCATGATTTAAGGTAATTTTATATAAACCATCACATAAATTACCTGAACCAATCACTTTTGAATTAAACATTAAATTGAGTTTTCCACAATTAAATAAAACTGAATATCCAACACGATCCAATTTGGATAATGAAACTAAATTTCTAGAAATTGAAGGAACATAAAAAGTGTCTTCTAGATCCATCTGATGACCCGTCTCTAAGATCAGTCGATAGGTTCCTACAGCTACGACTTCAGCTTTGAGACGGTTCCCCATATAGACAAATCTTTCACTTTCCTTCGGTTTCCTGGTTGAGAGTTATCCCTGCATGTCATTTGTAATGTGGGTCGTGGCCCCAGAGTCAATCCACCACGTATTAGAAGGTACTTCAGCAAGATTTGATTCATAACAAACAAAAGAAAATTTCTTACCTTTCTTTTCGAACCAAGCCTTTCGCTTGCTGCAGTCTTTCTTCGCATGTCCCTTCTTGCCACAAAAGTAGCACTTGATAGTGAAACCATTCTTAGCCTGATTTTCTTCCCCAGGTTCATTCTTTTTCTTTGGTGGATTTTTCTTTGATTTTACAAACTTACCCTTCTTTTTCTTTATGGCTCCATGAGTTACAGCCAATGCAGTTTGACGTCCTTTCTCCCTCAACCTCACTTCCTCCTGAACACACATATTAGTCAGTTCATTCAAATTCCACTTATCTTTATTGGTGTTATAGTGAATTTTGAATGCATCGAACTATGATGGAAGTGAGTTAAGAATAAACTACACGAGGAAGGTTTCATCAACCTGCATCCCTAAAGTTTTAAGTTTTGCAACTTTGTCGCCATATTGAGGATGTGATCCTAAACTCCTCGGTGGCCATTATATTTCATTGTTGTTAATTCAGCCATAATAGTGCCAGCAAGTGACTTGTCGATCTTCAACAACCTTTAACCAAATTTTACTTTAAGCATTAGGATAACGTCACTAAAGAGTCCTTTGGTCAATAACCAAGTAAGATCCCAGGAAGGTCGGAGGAGTCAATATAGCCTCCCTTCTAAGTCCAACCACCTTAGATAGCAAGCTATCTTTTTGACAGATCTTAAGAGGTATTAACATAAGATCTCATAAGTAACATGGAAAAAGGCATAAACAATATACATGTTAAAGCTTTGAGAATTACGATGAACTATTGATATCACGTAAGTCTTTCCTTTGGGAAAAACTTAGGTATATCTATTGTCCACTCGTCAAGAATCACTTATGTAGGTCTAAAGTAATTTATGCAATTTTTCAGCTAGTCATGTTACCTTTGGGTATTCAATTCTAATTTGTCAAATTACATAAGTTATATTATCCTACTCAGTTTATAATTATTTGAAAGTGACTCTCCTTTGGGCTAGTCTCAATCTCCTAATTATAACTGCAATTGAGAATATTATCGACCTTAATGTTACCCTTTTTAACAATTCTTTTATGTAGTTCTATATTCATAAGTTTTACAAATCTAGGCTACTTTGGCAGTTACTAAATTAGTAAACCCTATGAATACGGAACTAACCAACAATATTCTCTATTCATTAATTTTGAGTTATTTAATTATCATTAACTCAATCACAATTTTAATGAGATCACTATTTTATGATTTCTAAAATTTCTTTTATGTGATTGTTATTACCAATATAATAATAATAATAACTCTGGATGAACAGGAATATTTATATATGTATTATAACAATCATGAATATCTAAAATAATGGTTAATAAGAATTACACCTAATATGAATTAACAACTTTAATATTTAATATTCAATGTCATAAAATTATATCATGATATCAATTTTAAATCATGAAAATATATAAATATTTAACAATAATAGACAATAAGTGTGCATAATTAAACAAAGCAAAAACATAATCCTCTAATGTGATACAATCAAATAAATATATTTATTTAATAGTCCGAACAATTCAGCAAAATTCTAAAATTGCTTTTAATCTATGTACTTTATCATAACGGCAAGCAATACACTCAATTCAATAACATATTATGATGATTATAAAAATTATTATCACTAAAATTAATAATAAATCAAAACATGCATATGAACCGCATATAGAATTACATAAAAGTTTGCACCTAACATATCATAAAACAAAGTGAGTGAGGGAGTCCAAGATGTGCATACTTAGTTACGATTTAGAAATCAGGAATGAAATCTTCTTTTACACAACCTTTGACTTTTAACAACACAAAAAGAGTTTCTTTGATGCATAATGAATATGAAAGAGATTAGATGTACCATTCAGACACTGCCTAATAAATATGGCATGCAGCTTACAAGGTTGAACATACAGCGTATATTCAAGATAACCAACACATGCCGAGAGTTCAAACCTTATGAACAAAAAATATGTTGTTATGAATAATTATAACTATAATAACAATATTCATAAATATATTATTATTCCAAGGTGTATTGATTCACAAACTAAAGCTCTGATACCACATGTAAGATTTAATAATACATGTAACCATAATAATAATGCGGAATTAAACTTTACAGTATCTTGAATTCAATACAACTCAAGAATAAAACGAATATACCTTTGTCAGCCATTGAATTAGAGAAGTTGAGAAAATACCCCTTAGAGTTGAACCTTTAATTTTGGCTCACCTTCCTCTCTCTGTCTCTCTTAATTAGGATGACTATAAAATTAAAGTGATGGAAAAATACTCATAATATGAAAGGGGAGTCACCCATCCTTATATAGAGGAGAGAAGAGGGCCAGATAAACTCTATCAGAAGAATTCCTAATCCATCAAGGTTTCCTTCTTATCTTAGAAGAGTGATTATATTAAAATTCTAATTACTGAACTTGATCTCAAAATATTGGCTTTATCTATTTGTGGAGTCCAAATAAATTAAAACATGTAGAAAATACGTAGGCTATTGGGCTACACTAGAAAAATAAATCCAACATGGAAGGCATCATTGCAGAGCTGCAAAATATGTCAGGCCAATTTGAAAAAGAGAAGGAATAGCTGGCTGAGATAAATTCAGAGCTTACTTAGGATCTAGCTACATATGAGTCCAAACTAAATGAACTAAACCATTTGTCCATCCAGAATTGAACCCTGCTGCCATCCCCATTTTGAATTCTTATATTGGATACAAAGAAATCAACCAGTGTGGAATTAAGGTTTGCCAAAAGACAAAACATGTCCCCAAACAAGTGACATGAGTTCACCCTTAATCCTTTTTTTTTTCCCCCCCTGATTCGGTCATCACTCAAAAACAGTTCGATTTTGAAAATATTGATTAGTCTCTCCAACCTCTAATTATCCATCCTCAATTTTTTAAAAATTATCAAAAATAAAAGATACATGTGACATGCTCAAAAAAGAAGAAACAAGATAATAAATAAAAATAAAAATTTGCTAGAACCCTTGGAATTTGCCATCAATCCTATAAGAAGCTAAGATGTTATTACTTTCTGAACTTCAAGTTTTTACGATGTGGAATTCTACCAGACCAACAGTCAAAGAACGAAAAATAAACATGGTTGGGGAAGAGGAATCCATCAAGCTGGCAGCTATTGCAGCATTCAAATCTTCATCTTCTACGTCTAAGAGCTTTTGAAGTAATTGATTTGGAACAGTGAACAGTTCTGTGAGGCACTCTCTATCCGGAGTAGCAAGATTTAGTTATCCTCTCTGCATCTTCAGGCAAAAGCCACTGTCCAAAACCATTAGAAGCTTCGGAGGATGTGAAGGGACACACTTTAGGGAAATTTCCTCTGATGAGGAAAATGCTCCAGCCGAAGCCTTTCAGAGTGTCCAGATATGCTGAGAAGTAAAACTTGGATAGATGCTCGGGGGCTGGATAAAGAATATCGAAGTTGTACCACTCTCCATTTACTTTCCTTGTACAAAACCAATGATCATGTTAGTGGCAAATAAATGCCTTTTCGAGTTCTAGGTCGATCTCAGTTGGTTTGGCAATGAGGCAATCGAGTGGAATGACTTGCATATCCCACACTTCTAATACCTTCGGCAAAACCTGCAAATAGAAATTTTCAATTACCCGAATTAGTTATGGTTTCTTATTGGTGCCAAAAATAGTCAGTGAAGAAAGGAACAAAGCAACCATTCGTTTCATCTAACAGAATAGGAACTCTCTTGTCCAACAGAGTGTAACTTCATTTATAGCACCGTAAATATCACTATAATGAAATTTCAATAACATGACAGACTATACCACAATTACAAATGCATGCAACCCAATCAGAGCATGATTCTTTTCCATCGGGAAAAAAAAAAAGAAAAAAAAGAAAAGAAAAGAGCAGCCCAATGTTATCACCATGTTTTCTTTGCATATCACCAAAAAAGGTATACATAAAATCAATATAAAATGATATTGCATCTTTTAATTTTATCACTTCAAAGCAAAAGAACCAACAAAACAATTTATATTGCCAGAAGTGCACTGTCACATCACTTTGGTCTTAAATTTTGTATACAAATTCTAAAAGGATATCATTTTCCATTTTATAATTTTTAAGTTTTGCCTAGCATAGCAATCTTCAATACAAAAAGGAACAAACTAGAGAAATGTCAGTGTTGCAGATAAAGCTCTACTTAAAGACATAAGCTCATCACAACTGGACATCTTAGCATATTATATACACTCTCTTACATTACTAGTGAGTGAGACATAATTAGAAGAAAAATTAGTCTCGCCAAACAATAAGTAATATCATCGAATAATATCATATTGGCGATGCATGTTTATAAGAAATCGATAATTAAATCATAGTTGTAATGTCTATATGGTAATCCATTCACTTGCACAACAGATGAAATAGAAAGACACCATGTCATGCTTATAATGCTATATATTGGTAGTTCAAGTACCCATCGTGGAAACATGAATGAACATTATTAGATGAGATAAAAAAAATTTAGGGTGCTCCATACTCTTAACAAATTGTTATAGTTAAAATGTCCCATAGATAATGCACCAACAACATCCAACCATGAGAAGAATGGTATATCAATCAATAAAAATCCTCAAATGTAGAGGTAAAATATGCAACTATTAATCCAGAAGGGGAATATTACATCTAACCATAACCCAAAAGCACCATTACCAGAAGTATAACATAAGAAGAAACGAAGAATTAGAAACGTAAACAGATTTCAATAAATAAATAATTGCAGTCTCGTATCAATTACATGAGTACAAAATTCAATTACTCACACATCAGATTTCATAATTTCAAGCAAAATTTCAAGTATATATCTATATATATGGAGTCAAAATAACTACCAAATCAAACAAACATGAAAAACAAAAACTATTCATATCATATTTTCCAAAATTTAGAATCCAACCACTCAAAGTGAGTTCACAAATGTGAAAGGGGCAATTTTAAAGAATGGGAAACAAGAATCGATAAAGGAAATAGGAGTTAACAAAAGGGGATTTTGGTGTAGGGTTTCATAGAATGGGGCTAGAGAAAAGGGAGAGAAACGAGCTGCAGAGAGTGATAGAAAGAGAGATTCATACCTTGAGGCAAAGCTTTCATATGCAGAGAATAATGATAGAACAATCAGAAAACAAGGCAGAGAATATTGCCGAAGTTGCACTTCGTAAGATGGTCTTCTTGTAAGATTTTGAATAAAACAATACAATCAACTCTAAATCTATACATTATATTTCTCACACCCCCGCTCAAACTCAAGGTGTTTTACTAGAAAACACTGAGAGTTTGCTAAGAAAAAACTAAAACTGAGCGGTAGTGTAAGTCTTGGTGAAAAAGTCCGCAAATTGCAAAGCCGAAGAGACAAAAGGAAGCGAGATAGAGCCAGATTGCAGATACTGTTGAACAAAGTGACAATCATTCTCAATGTGTTTATCCGTTCATAGAAGACAGTATTGTGGGCAATCTGAATAACACTATGGTTGTCACAATAGAGGGAGGTCAGAGAAGACTGAGAGACACCCAAATTAAATAAGAGACAATGAAACCAAACAATCTCAGCAATAACATGCGCCATAGCATGGTACTTAGTTTCGGCAGTAGAGCGAGCAATAACAGGTTGTTTTTTGCGTTTCCAAGAGATCAAGGAATCGCCAAGAAA